GTAGACCATGACTATGAACATAGTAGACCATGACTATGAACATAGTAGACCATGAATATGAACATAGTAGACTATGACTGTGAACATAGTCAACTATGAGCATAGTAGACCTAGTGCATGAGAGACACCCATGCCCAGCCTCCATAGTCCATTCGCAGCAAGCGTCGCTAAGTTAAGCCTCTTAGTGAGCGAATTGAGCCCGACAGACTCGAGCTATACCAACCCCAGCTCAGTATATCTGCTGCATGTATCTCCTCAATGCAGATCTAAGCACGCAAGTATCCTCAAATCCGACACATACTTCTTCAAGTGTCGAGGCCAAATCATTCATTCATCCGACAGATTTTCATCCCTGAATAAGAAAATTGTAGTGAATAGGTGAGTCGTCTGTTGACTAAGTGTCTGAGCGGACTTTTTTTGAGATATTTTTCTCAAGGCTTAACGTTGTAGTACTTGATATTGTCCAGATAATGTTAAATCTAATGTTAAATTTTAGCATCGTTATGTATAAATCTTACATCACGTGGGGTTCAAATCAAATTGCATGGTTACCAAAGCAACCAATTAATGCTTATATAGCAATGTCCAAAAAATAATCATAAATGTTAATGATCAACGCTATAAGTTTAACATATTTACAAGAACGAGACACAAACGTCATCGAGGTGACGTACTATAGTCACCCATCTTTAATTCAAATTTCGTAAAAAATTTATTTCGTCTATTGCCGTCTGCCGATCGTCGTCAAATGTCTTGTATCGACGTTGATTTTATATCGCTTATAGCCTTGAATTCATGTAACAGTCACGGATGTTACTGAACTAAAATGTAACTCATTTTCGATCGAAGACAGTGACGACTGTCGAACATTTTCGATCGCGTGCATTGTTATTCAGACGCAAGCAAACCTCACCTAGATACTGAATTTGGATTCTGATTCACAACATTGAAAACTTTGAGAATAATCTAAAAGTTTATTTCTAGTCGAACCGCCATGTAAAATAAATTCCTTTCATTTAACTGCCATAATCACATATGGATAATTTCAAGCGGTTATCGAACGAAGATAGAGCTTCACACAACTTCTCGAGCCGGGCGAGACCGTTTCAGCGCGGATGGTGGTAATTTCCATTCAATTCAAAAACGTATCATATAAGTGAAGTGGAAATAATTATATTATATAAGATCAATCAAAATAATATCAGCAATCAAAAGTAACAGATTTCTTATTTCCATTGATTCGTGTCGTATTTTATTTTTTAGAGGTGGAGCCCTTCAGTTAGACAATTATTAAAAGAATGCCAATTTTATTGAAAACTTCTTTGGAGTTTAGTTCCTGTTTAACAAGAAATTTTGAGTAAAAATGAGAATTTTTGAGTTAATAAGGATATTAACTTTAACCAAAATAATATTTCTATGTTTTACGCACATGAAGAGATATGGCAAAAGTCGGCGATATATAATATATTTACTATAAACTGGTACAACAAATTCTCTGAATAAGTGTTTTTATGCGCCTTGTAGCAACTGTTCTTGATGCCGGCAACGATGTTGGGAATGTTTTTACATCTTTTGGTGTCTTCACTCATTCGCTGCCACTCACAGCTTGAGTTACGACATAAAATAATTCTCAAGTAACGAGCTGCGTGATTACTCACACTCATCTCAACTTCTTAACGTTGTTTGGAACACCAGAATGTTCGCTTAAATCGATGACAAGAAATTATTTTTATAATTTACTAATAATTTTTGTATAATCAGTAAAATCGCGGAACATGAAATATATTATATTTTTATAATTTACTAGTTTTTTGTATTGACTGATATCTTAAGGACTTATTCTCGTGTTAATGGAATATTCTGAAGCATGTGTCATCGTGGCCATGCCGGCCGTGGCTGTGTGGCATACCGGCCGTGGCTGTGTGGCATGCTGGCCGTGGCTGTGTGGCATGCCGGCCGTGGCTGTGTAGTATGCCGGCCGTGGCCGTGCGTCGTGCCGGCCGTGGCTGTGTGGCATGTCGGCCGTGGCTGCTCAGCAATTGGCTTCTCGTTGCCTTCGTTACAGCTGCCGCAGCTGCATCCGGCCTGCAGCAGCTGCAGCACTTGCTCACATCTGCAAAGTTTACAGCTGTAGCTCGTGAGCAATGACCTGCTGTAGCCGCATTTGTATACAGCTGTAGCACGTGTATCCTGTTGTAGCACGTATAACCATCCGTAAGACGTATGTACAGCTATAGCACGCATAACTAACAGTAACACGTATGTACAACTGTAACACGAATAATTATTTGTAACACGCATTATAAGTGTTACAGCTGTAACACTTATAACCAGCTGTAACACGTATGTACAGCTGTAACACGTATGTACAGCTGTTGCACGTATAACTAACAGTGACAAGTATACTGCTTTAGCACGTATAACCATCTGTAACACGTATGTACAGCTGTAGCACGTGTATCCTGTTGTAGCACGTATAAGCATCCGTAAGACTTATGTACAGCTGTAACACGTATCTACAGCTGTTGCACGTATAACCATCTACGTATAAAACGTATGGACAGCTGTAGCACGTTTAAACATTTGTAACGCGTATGAGCTGCGGCACATGTGTACAGCTGTAGCACATATAAGCATCTATAAAACGTATGTACAGCTTTAACGCATACATTCTGACGTACGTAGCATATGTACCCAATTGCTGCACGTTTATAGCTGCCACAAAATTCGTGCTGCAATATAGCTGCCCGATCAAGGATGTCTCGGCTGCGGTGTAGTTTTTTGCGTACGTTGGACTTGGCGTTCGTAAATCTGTTGCAAATGAAATATTCTGAATACTCTTATTCATCTATATAATTTATTGCTACTTTTCAGTTTTATTATTATATACAAATAACTAACCTGCACTCAGGAAATGAATTGGGTAATATTTTCCAAATAGAGACACACTTGCTGCGTGTAGCACTGATTCACCTGCTTCACGTTAATAGGGCTGCTCGGGCCAAACTGGGTCAAGATGACCTACATAAGGGTAGAAGTGCATCGCTATTTGGACAATGTCTCATGAATTTCTTTCAAAAACGATCGAAAAGAAGAAGTCAAAAGAAGGTTGACGTACACTCAGAGGAATGAGTGAGGCTGCGTCCAAATAGCGATGCACTTTTTAATAATTCTTTTGCGGGTCATCCTAACCCAGTTTATTTCGGAAGAAACATATCAGGGGCTATACATATTGTGATAGTGTGTCTCTTTTAAACAATATGTTCCATAAATTTTTCTTTGTGTTGGCTTTGTTGTGCAGCGTTGCCACGGCAACTGCGCGCTGGACTCCTATAGACTGGCACCTTGCCATGCTCACGCGCATGGGTTATTGCTGTGCATAATGCGTACGCATATATATACGCTGTGCATACGTTATGCATACGCATGGCCTAAGCTGCATGCACGTGTTTTGCTGGATATTGCTGTGCATAATGCGTACGCATACGTATTTTGCCATTTTTTTTGCTGTGCATACGTTATGCATACGCATGGCCTGAGCTGCATGCGCGTCTTATGCATGCGAGTGCATACGCGTTGCGTGCGCTGTTTACTCGTCTGTTGTATGCGCATGCTGCTTGTACGTCTGATATATGCACGAGCGTACGCAATTACAAATGTGGTACATGCGGTGCAGCGTGCGCTGTGGTACATGCGGTACAGCGTGCGCTGTGGTACATGCGGTACAGCGTGCGCTGTGGTACATGCGGTACAGCGTGCGCTGTGGTACATGCGGTACAGCGTGCGCTGTGGTACATGCGGTACAGCGTGCGCTGTGGTACATGCGGTACAGCGTGCGCTGTGGTACATGCGGTACAGCGTGCGCTGTGGTACATGCGGTACAGCGTGCGCTGTGGTACATGCGGTACAGCGTGTTACATGCTCTGATATTTAAATGGTACATAATTACTTGTCCAATGGTCCCTCATTGATACGCCAGTGGATGGTACCTCGCTAATACCTTGGTTAATGGTTCCTAACTGATAAGCCCGTAATCGCCCCTCACTAATACGCCGGTTAGTAATATACCTTCATCAAATTGACGTGAGTGACGCATTCTTTTACGTCGCATGAGCGGACGCGCGCTTTGTTTCCATGACGTCGGCCGGAAGCTGTGCGCGCATCCGAGCGACGCATGACGGAATAAATGCGCCCAGCAGGATCGGCTCATGATCGTTAGTCATTTCCGGAACGCAGCCTCGGCTCATGAACGCCATTAGTAACACATCGTAATGCTCGAATAGAAGGCGACATGACTGCCATTCACCTGATGGCATAAATGTATTATTTCGCTCCTTATCATGGAGGCATAAATGCATTATTTCGCTCCTTATCATGAAGGCATAAGTGTATTATTTCGCTCCTTATCATGATCGCATAACGCAGCATCGGCTCATGATCGTTAGTCATTTCCTGGGCCTATACTTTCAAAGCTTGCTAAGTTAACGTATGTACTTGCGCTCTATTTTCTTGTCTATGATTGGTGGATTTTGCTTGAAAGGCCGTCAATGATTGGCTGATGAACTTACAATCTCTTAACATTTTTGAAAGTATAGACCGACCATGTTGCGCAACCCTTTGGTGTTGCGCCGTGTTGGGCGGGTAAGGCCATGTTCGGTGTAGCGCTGCCCCGATTGTGCCGATTTACAGTTTTGTAGTTTTCAGTATACTGAAACCTGATTGTTTAGTATGAACTTGCTAAAGAAAAAGCTAAATAAATACAATAACGGGCAAACCGTTATCTCCCGGGAAACGTTCCCAGCGTTTAATTTAATGGTAAGTTACCGGCCACTGTAACGCCGGTGGGAACGTTTTTTTAAGATGGTTTTTCTAACGGTGATATGTGGTGCTTCAATTATTTTAATTGAGCATCAGTTTGGCTTATAATTGTTCTACTTATAAATGAATTATATCAAATCTGAAATTTAATATTTTGCATTGAATGGTTGTTTCCGCTGCAGGCGGCTGGAGCTGTGCCGATGCTAACAGCGACGGTGAGGTGACGGAGTGGCAGGACACGACACGTGTCGCCAGGAGGGACGTGTCGCTGAGGGAACGCAGCAGCTGTGAGGGCGGCGACCCTCAGCCTCCTGAAAGAGTCGACACGACCAAGAGGTGCGTGTTATAGTGACATTATTACCTGGCATTTTATCTTCAAACATTAACCAAAAACCAAGACTGTTGTTATATTATCGTCATGATTCACAGGGACTTCTTCCATGTATATGTACGTGTACACATACACTATAAGGGCACCACGGGCCGTATTATCAAAACTCTTAAAGTACACGTAGGGGTCTAAGTGAACTTAACGGCCTAAGTACGCCTATCGGCGTAAGTACATGTAGCGACATAAGTACAAGTAGCGGCCTAAGTCCACATAGCGGCCGATTTCTTGTCCGTGATTGGTTAGTTTATCTTGAGAAGCCGTCACTAATTGGCTGACGGAGTTACAAACTGGTCCTGAGTTCACAAAACCTCCTCCGCCTCTCAGGGTCGCCGCTCTCATCGGTGAACTGGAGCGCCGAGGGTTGGACGCCTACATCATCACCAGCGATGACGCGCACATGGTCAGTTGTAAATTATCGTAAGTAAGTGGTCGTAAATAATGGTCCTCGTAAATATGGTCTATACCCCACCAGGCATCTGACGTTTAAATACCGTTTATTAAACGTTGTTTGTTCGTAATTTAAAAGGCGGGTCGTTGCTTACAGTCCTTGCAGCTCTCGGTCCTCGTAACTCATAGTTCTCATAATTCACGGTCTTCGTAATCTAATTACGGCCCTCGTAACTTACGGCCCGTGTAATGGCCATTCTCATAAATTACGGTCTTTACACCTTGTGGTATTACAAATTGTTCCAGTTCCAGTTAACAAAATGGATTTTTTTTTCATAATAAAACAAACTACAATTTTCGGTTTTACATTCGAATTTATACAATAGAAAAATAATCACGTCAACCAAATGTGTTGTTGTGGAGGTCGTTTGCAGGAGGTACAAGGGCGCTTCAAAAAGTTCGTGGAAAATAGGCATCACTGAAAATTTTATGAAAATAATATGTGACCAATGCATCAGAACGATCCTGTATCAATGTTTTAAACGTGTTCTCACATGAATACTACATTAATGTTACAAACGCGTGGCGCTGCTTTAATTAAAAGCAACAATCGTTCTCTGCCGAAATCGAGGCCAGATCTAACATCAAATTAATGGTGAAGCTTGGGTGGAAGAACAGCCAAATTATTGACTCTCTGGAACAAGTTTATGTTGACAGTGCCTCAAATAAATCAGCAACCTACAAATGGATTATTCTTTCCAGAAGCGAAATAAATGAGACCAAAGACGACCCCCGCTGAGGCAGGCCACGCACATCAGTTTGTGGGGAAAACATTGATGCTGAAAGATAAAAAAATATAACTCAGTACTCACTGCAGTGAGTGACAGAGAGCGCATTTTCTCGTCGTTTCAAGCAAAATCCACCAATTAGAGACAAAAAATAGAGCGTTATAAGTACTTACGTTCACTTAGCGAGTTTAGAAAGTATGACCCCAGATCAGTTGGAATTAAGGGCAGATCTTTCTATCTAAATTTTGCACATCTGGAGTGAGAACATTCGTAATTAATGCTACAAGTATATACGAGTATAAACTGCTATACATTTCATGCTCTAATTAGACCTAATCGGCACTGATATGAAGAAAATGTAACACGATTTACGTTCTGCTGCTAAGGGGCTCAGGCTGCCCAGGGCCTTGCTCCTATATACGTACTTAGGCGGTGCAATCAAAACCCAGAACTTCGCATTCCTTAATTCTTGTCAGATTGCATATAGGTATGATTGTACCTACACTCGGTACGATTTTAACGTTGTAAAATAATGCTGTCTGACAATGGTTGAATATAAGTCATATTTAATAGAAGTCATATTAATTAAAATTCTGTCAACAAGGGTTAACAAAATATGGAGCTTCGCATTCGGAATATTCGGTCGCTGAATATGGCTGTGGGTCTGATAATAGTTGAATATAAGGGGAGCGTCTGGCCAAAATTTTATCTTGGCTGTTTACAGACGGATCACTTTGAAACTTGGTACACATGTGTAAAACCGAAAAATAGACAGCTTTTATTCATGTAAATTTTTCGAAAAAATGAAGGAAAAAGTGAAATTCTTAGAAAACGGCTAAAAAACGGGGTACTGTAGAAAACTAGCTCCTCCTAGGATTTTCAAGCTACAACATCGAGACGCATATATCATTCAATGCGTAAGGACCATATCTATCGAATCGATTTGTCGTAGCTTTTTTCGAAATTCGAATTTTTGTGGGTGGGGGAGCATTTTTTGTAAAATTTTCGAATTTTTTTTTATTTTTTTCCATTTCCCCCTTTTTATTAAATATTTTCAAAACTATAACGAAATTGAAAAAAAGCTACGACGAATCGCTAGATCTTTTATTTGCGAATTGAATGGTGTATATCTCTCATTGCTTTAGCTTCAAAACTGTAGGAGGAGATAGTTTGCCAGTGACAAAAAGTTAACTTCTCAGTAGAGCCCGACAAAGTCGCGCGCGCCTCGAAATAGACATTCAAGGGTGCAAGGTTGCAAGACTAGAAGATACTGGAGCTCATTCTCTGTAAAGGATGGTGTGAACGACGGAACGAGCACCATCCCGTAAGACTGCAGGCGGATAACTGAAGCACATCATGTTTGCACTAGCTATTTAAGTGTGCTGCCGGGAATTTCCGCCCATCTTAAATGTGAAAGAACTCTATCACCCCTAACTCTTTCGGGATCTGTCGTGAACGCATAAATCAACGTAGAGTTGGTTTTGGTACCGTTGAATAGGTCAGAATGTCAGCTTTAATATGAGACTATAAACCGGAAAAGCCAAAACCCGAAAATTTTGGCCAGACGCTCCTCATATCTCAAATAAGTTCATAGTTTTTCAAAAAGAGTTGATACAAAATATTACAGTCAGAATATACGGCCACCCGTAGAACATTATTTACATGTCATATACGTTAATATTTACTATAAGAGTGGACAAAATATAAGAATTTTGCAGTCGGAGTACACGGCCGCCGCTGATGGCCGCCGCGCGTACATCTCAGGCCAGGATGGCAGCGCCGGCACGGCCGTCGTCCTCCGTGATGGCCGCCGCGCGCTGTGGACCGACGGACGATATTTCTTGGCCGCCGACCGTCAGTTGGACTGCGAGTGGCTGCTCATGAAGGCCAGAGAACCCGGGGTGAGTAGGACTCAACCCTCGTTTCCTTCTTTCTGTTGTAGGGGCTCAACCCTCTTTTCTGTTGTAGGTGTAAAGTGCTAAATTCGCACCTCTTATATAAGGTTAACTTTGATTCGTGATTTTAATCATGCTGAATCCGAAAGAAAGAATGTATGACACTCGCAGCGTGTATATCACTCTGATGGCTGTATTGTTGATGTAGAAGAAAAATCCAGGCAGTAACATCTTGGGGCTAATACGTAATTTTATTTTAAAACTAATTGACCGTACATAAATCTAGTTTATTTATATTGTTCAGTTATATATCCAGTATTTGTGCGCTGCCTGACAGGTGCCAACGATGTCAGCATGGCTAGCACAGGAGCTGGCCGAGGGCAGCAAGGTGGGAGTAGACGCAGCTCTGATGGCTGCTACGTCTTATCTTGAACTCCAACTCAGGCTCAAAGGTGACAGTTTTGACCTTCGAACGTTCTAATCAACCCCTAAGTTAAATTGTATACAAATTAAAAATTTATTTGTATTGTTTTGCATTGAAGGTTTCCTAAACAAGGGAGTTTAAACATATTATGGCAGTACTAAATTACCTGGGATGAGGAACGCAGTTTCCATCATTCTTTCGCTCCCTGCAAGAATTTTTATGCTATTTCTTTTCCTCGGAAAGTTCCATACCAACTGAGGAGTCTTCGTAATCTTCTGTCACGGGTTTGCCTCTCCTTCGGTCTTTTGCCGGTAACGTGAAATCTTGCTACCCGCGTGGCGCTAGATTGAGAAAACAGATTATTCGAGGGGATTATATTGCTGCTTCGATTTCTAATTCAACAAAAAGTGGTAACTGGAAATTAGTGAGCAATAAATATTCGGCTTTTGCGATAGAAATTCGTTTATCCCGTTGTTTAAAGAAACTCTACCCTTCTCTTCTTTGTCGTGTCCCGCTCTGGAGCAATTCTGTTCAGCGTCCACTATAAATCTCACTCAAACCTGAACTGCGCTTGTACCACTAAATCACTTGCTGCTAATTTATCAGTGAAGGCAAAATGGAAAACCTCAACTAGGCTCACCCCATTTCCCTTACCCTACTTTTCACGTATCTCACCAAACGTCACGTAAGTCAGTGAGTGGCTTGTTGAGACAAACACTCTTGTGTTCAACAGCAGACGTCGTTAGCTGGATCACATGGACTATTGCCCCAGTGAGTCGACAGTTAACGCATTACGTGATAAAAGCTCTCCCTGGGCAGTAGCATCACGTCTATGAAAGGCCCGGGCACTTTAATAAGGCCCCCTTAGTAGCTTGCACGACCGCACCGATGTAGCACTCATTGTCGTCGGCCGGGCGGTTGCAATCTTAGCCGTTTACATGTATCTCTCTAATGATTGTTGTCTATCACCTCATATGAAGATAAATGTGCATTAACTTAATTACCCCTCACATTTAGTCATCGAATTCCTGTCTGCAGATTGAACATATAAAAGATATATAATTGTCAAGGAACGTCGGTTCGAAATTATATTTGGGGGTATGCTAATCAAATTCAAGTACGCAGGTTGCATTTATAAACTACAGTTAACGTTACAGGCTTAAAGTAGACAGGATACGAGGGAATATAATTGATAATGGTACAAAGTGACTATAAATAGGTAAGTGAACTCGTGGGGCAAGGTTCAGTCTTAATGATTCGACCTGCTCAAGATACGAGCCTAAATTAATATAGATGCAATTATATTGATTTGTCTTCAGTTAGTTCAATTTTATCAAGCATAAATGCAAACATCCATAGTTTTATCCTAAGCTACACAAAGACACAAATATTTCCCTACGCTTATATGCTCACCTGCTCAGTGTGGGAGAATAGGGTCGACAATTTTATTCAGGAGGCTCAGCACTGAGCAAAGTGACGGAATTGAAGAAAAAATCTATTACAGAAATGTGGATGGACCCCTCACAATAATTCTTGGTGGCAACTAAATATTGCTCTCGACCCGTATCGCCACCACAGTTGCACCACGTTTCATTCGTGCACAGAGTCGGGGCTGGAGCTGGTAGCAGAGAAGACTAACCTCGTGGACGCGGTGTGGCCACAACAGGAGCGGCCGCCGCGAGTGAAGGACGACCTCTTCGTCCACGAGCTTTCCTTCGCCGGTGGGTATCGCATGCATATGTCCTTCTCCTGTTGTAGGGCTCAACCGCCATGTCCTTCTACTGTTGTAGGGCTCAACCCCCTTGTCCTTCTCCTGTTGTAGGGCTCAACCGCCATGTCCTTCTCCTGTTTTAGGGCTCAACCCCCTTGTCCTTCTCCTGTTGTAGGGCTCAACCCTCCACTTTTACAGGGTTAAGGTTGCAACTTGAAGTTTATTCCAAGCATTTCGAGGTAAAACCCTCATGGCTACTTCATTTTAATCTTACTTTTGTTCTGATATGTTGCCTTTGGGTTTTGGGTTTTGTGGAATTTTATCAGGTTTTATTCATACCTGCCATTCCGTCAGCATTCATTGTTTTTCAAAATAAACTACGTGCCGAGGTCTGACACCACGCCAGGTACATTGAATCAAACAGCTATAGGTTTTAGTGGTTAAAGTTATGAAAGTTACAGTTGTAAAGTTTTTGTAGTTTTAGTTGTAAAAGTTTCAGTTGTAAAGTTTTTGTAGTTAAAGTGTAAAAGTTACAGTTGTAAAATTTTTGTAGTTAAAGTTGTAAAAGTTAGAGTTGTAAAGTTCTTGTACTTATATTTGTAAAAGTTACAGTTGTAAAATTATTGTAGTTATAGTTGTAAAAGTTACAGTTGTAAAGTTTTTGTAGTTAACGCTGGAAAAGTTACAGATGTAAAGTTTTTGCTGTTTAAGTGGCAAACGTTACAGTTGTAAAGTTTTTGCTGTTTAAGTTGCAAAAGTTACAGTTGTAAAGTTTTTGTAGTTATAGTTGTAAAAGTTACAGTTGAAAAGTTTTTGTGGTTGAAAGACCCATGCTGACGTGAGCCGTTCCCTCGCAGGTGCCCACGATGTCAGCATGGCTGGCGCAGGAGCTGCCGGAGGGCGGCAAGGTGGCCGTGGACGGCGCCCTTATTGCGGCCACGTCCTTCCTTGATCTGCAACTCAAACTCAACAGTGAGAGTTGATTTATTTATTTATTTATATCAAAAGAGAAAATTTATTTCCTTGATCTTCAACTTAAACTCAACAGTAAGAATTGATTAAATTTATTATCGTGCGATACTTCATCTAAAACTCAACAATAAGAGTTGATTTCATTTATTTTCGTGCGAAACTGCAACTAAAACTCAACAGTGAGAATTAATTTCATTTGTCCGGCACTTCAACTAAAATTCAACAACTAGAGTAATTTTAAATTTTTTACTTCTATACTTTGCTACACTTGTAACACGCTGTATCATCACAACTCACGCCACATAACCACGTATCACCACACGTCACCACGTATCACAACACGTAACCACGTATCACCACACGTCACCACGTATCACCACACGTCACCACGTATCACCACACGTCACCACGTATCACCAAACGTCACCACGTATCACCACACGTCACCACGTATCACCACACGTCACCACTTGGACGCGGTGTGGCCACAACAGGAGCGGCCGCCGCGAGTGAAGGACGACCTCTTCGTCCACGAGCTTTCCTTCGCCGGTGGGTATCGCATGCATTATGAGTGTGTGAACAATGTAGTTCATCCATTATTATTAATCAACATTATGTGCGTCTTTTAGTTTAAGTATGTACCGAAAGTGGACCACGTCGTCCATGAACTCCCTTTCTCCGGTGCACGGTAGGTATCGCGTCAGGGGCTAATGGATCTTTCTTTGTCTAATTATTATTACCTATCTTATAAAACTGAATGCATCTTATCATGAATATCTGTTGGATTATTTAATCCTGCATATCTAATGAACATGATTACAGCCATTGATGAATGCCTTATGGAGGTTATTACGTTTAAACTTGATTATACAATGGTGCCTATATTATTACGCCTAATCATGAGCACTTAATAGAATTCTTCATCTCTAATCATTAGTTTTTAACTGAAAATACGTTTGAGATAAGTATCACGTGGAACTGACGAGCACGTCCCTTTCACCACCACTGACCCAACCTTTACACTGACTCACACATCCACTAACCTACCTTTACACTGACTCACACATCCACTAACCTACCTTTACACTGACTCACACATCCACTAACCTACCTTTGCTTCGCCTTCGCTTCTTTGCAAGAAACGAAGGTTAAAAGCGGAGTTCCGCAGGGATCAGTGCTTGGAGCGATCCTCTTACTCATCCACATTGCCGATATAGACTCGGAACTCACCCACGCATCTACATCGTCATTTGCGGATGATACAAGAGTGCTGATGAAGATCACAGATGACCTAGACTGCGAGAGGTTGGGGGATGACCTATCGGTAATCTACGATTGGGCCCTAGTGAACAATATTCAGTTCAACGGCACTAAGTTCGAAGTAATGAGATAAAGAGTATGCACAGAGATCGGGATGCCACATCGCTACTTAGCATCAGATGGTAACGAAAATATTATGGCGGGAAAATCAGAAATACAGTCTCAAATATATTAATTTTAATATATCCGTATAGAGAATCAAAATCCGCGGACGGTTTTGACGATGCGCAAATCCCGCCAACAATCGTTCAATGAAAAAGCCGATGGATCGTAGGTGGATGACGTCTGGGACGAAGTTCCCGCGCCACCTTCCAAACGAAATTAATCAATTAGGCACTTTAACAAATGATATGAACAATTCAAAGGCAAGCAGGCGTTTGGGTCGTATGGACTATAGTTGAATTTTAAGGCTGCCTAAAGATTATACTAACAATTGCGTTCCAACTGAAGTAAATTCCCTTTCTTCAAATATCACATTATTTGACACTGCGCGCCCGCGATTAGAGTCTAAAATCGGTTGGTTTTAACTCTAATAAGCACCACGTAAAGGTATCCTAAATCAAATAGACGCGAAACTACGAAACGGAACATGAGAAATTCAAAGCCTTAAACTAATAAACGACAACAACTTCAAGCTATTTACAGCCGAGATGAGGGATCCGAAAGGGGGGGGGTCGCTACTCTATACCAACCCTTCCTCCATCATCTTTCTACATTTCATATTCGCGTCCTGTGCCGCCGTCCTACGCGAGATGCGTTTCCTAGTAACAGGTAGATGCTCACTGCAAGGGCCGGGAGTGGTCTCATCCTCACCACCCATTGCTGGCCTGAGCAAAGGTATTACGGAGCAAACGTGTCTCTTCACCGTCTCGCGGGTATTACCTTTCTTCACGATAACTCCCGTCACCTCCCCGTTAGAGTTTTTTACCATCTCCTTGACTCGTGCCATGGGGAAATGACTGGCTTTCAGCAGAGGATCCTTCAGCAGTACCAAGTCACCCACCTGTAGGCTGTGATGCGGCACCGGTTTGTATCGTTCCCTCTGATCGAGGCCTTGCTTCATCAAGGTTTGAAAAAATTCGTCGTTGTAAATTTTGATCAAGTTGCTACGTACCTTCCGGAGTTTCGCAAATTGAGTTCTGAGCAAGTCTTGCGAACCAATCGTCGCCTGCCACTCCGGGTCCTCCTCTGGATCAGGTTGCAAAGGAGGAATGATATTCAGAGAAACGACCTCGCGGCCCCTGCATAGTAGCTCAGGGGATATTGTGGCCGGTACATCCCAGCTTTTTTCATCTCTAAGAGCCTCTTTAAAAGCGACAGGTCTCTTGTTGATTATGTGAATCGTTTGTGCAATGATCAACTCAAAGTCGTGATAACAAAGAATATTGTTCCTGATTGACCCGTAGATCAATCGTTTGGTAAATTTAACACAAACCTCAACCAGGGAACCCAGAGAACTGTTACCCCTGAAATAATGTTCAAATTTAAAGCTATTTATTCCGTTGTCTGCTAGGTAAGTCTGTGCTTCAGGATTGTTCAACAAATTACGTATCATAGCGGCACCGGCAACGAATTGCGAGCCCAAATCAGAAAGAATCATACTTGGTAATCCTTCAGCAAGTACGTGGATCTGAAGAGCTCTTAAGAAACTTTTTACTGACAAGTCGGGGCATACGACCAAGTTCACCGCTCTGCTCCACAAGCAAGTTACGCAAAGAAGCCACACTTTTCGTTTATTTCCTCCTATTTGGACCGTAAATGGCCCGAGGTGGTCGAGGAAAATGAACCGGTAGGGCTCTGAAGGAGGGCTAACTCGGAAGTCCCGATAGGAACTTTGATTCAGTTTGATTGGCCGCGCATTAAATCTCCGACACACTACACAGCTATGAAGTACCTTCTTAATTGTTGAAAAGAATTTCGGTACATAAAACTGTTTACGCAAGTGAGCCAGGAGGGTATAGCATCCCGCATGGGTGAGCCTTTCATGAGCGTCATTCACCACTAATTTAGTGAGTGCGCTCTCAGGTGACAATAAAATAGGAAAGCAAAAGTTAGGGTTGCCCTTCCAGCGGTCAAACTTACTTTTCACTTTGAGAATCCCATCTGTTCTGTCCAGGAAGACGTTGAGATCTGTTACCACTGCGGGTATATATTTAATTTTCATCTTACCGCAATTGAAGAATGAAAAAACTTCTGGAAACCACTTCTTTTGGTCGTCAGCGATAATCCGATAAAGAGCACGCCTGCGTCTTTGTTCGTCGGTCTCTTCGTGGAGCTGTAAGTTTGTGAACTTACTCGGAAATCGTAATTTTACCTTTGCTTTTAGCGCTTCTACGAACTTCATAACATACGAGGTTATCCTTACCATTTTTTTCAGATTGCTGTAGTGTGCCACGTTGATCGAATTCCCAGTTTCCTCTACAGAGACATGATACTCATCGACGCTCGTTTCTGAGGAATAACATGGTATGGTCACAGACAGATCGGAAGGAAGAGTTTCGGGCTGTGTCAGGAAACTCGGTCCCTTAATGTAGTCGCTTTTTTGAAGCATCGAATAACTGAGCGCACGCGTCATGCAGTCTGCCGGGTTGTTGCCAGTGGCAACAAAATTGAACTGGATTGGAAACTTGCTACATTGTCGCTCAATGTACGCCAGGCGATTCATCACGAATACAGACTTTTTCTGCATTTTATCTAAGCTTTTGGATTGAGCCTGGA